AGCGAGTGCACCGGTACTGAGATCATCAAAAAAAATTTTACTTTTTTAACGTGTTTTATTATTTTAATAAACAATTTTACAATTTGCGTGCACAGTTCCTACGTAAATTTTTCAGTCATTCGAGTTATAGATTTTGCCACCAGATGGTGTATGCCCATTTGACCGATACCAATTGGAAAGCAAAATGCATTTACTAGCCCAGGAGAAGTCATCCTAAGGCTGCATCTTCAGCAATTCTTCATGGCCTTTACCATCCGTAGAGTGAATCGGCTATCCAGTGACACAATACATTTATCAACGGAAATCTATAGTCATCCTAAGCTTGTTCTTCAACAGTCGTCACTGACTATCAAAAGACACAATTCATTTATCGGCAGAAAGTCTAAATTCATCTTAAGCTTGGTCTTCAATAATCGTCAGGGTCTTTACTGAAACGCAAACATCCGGGGAGTAAATCGGCCATCAAAAGACGTAATCTGTCTATCAGCAGACGGTAGAAAGGCATCCAACCTTGCGTTTTTAGCAATCTTTAACTAAAGTGCTTTGTCCACTTAGTTTTACTATAAAATTGATGTCTATCAGCCGCTGGTGGATGGATGGTCAATCTCTAATACAAAAAGGGCTTTATCAAACCCTAGGAGCTCAGTTCGGACAGTCAAACCATTTTCTGTTAGTACTATGAACAACATTCCTAAAGTTACTTCATTAGAGTATCTTTGGAAACTTCTTCTTCAGTTCATGATTATATAAGATACATGTATACTAGATATTTTGTATAATTGCGACAATTTTCTTTTTCTTACTGAAAGAAGGAGATAATATTTAAGGATGTTTGGGAGGTACAATCGGAGACAAGTACATAAAATTAGAAATTCGTGATTAATTAGGTTTTGCAGCATAACATGAGGTAAATAAATACTAGCTATACAAAAAAAAAGGTATACGATTTGAGAGAAAATTTGGAATTTAACCAAAAACATTGAAAAAAATAAGAAATAACGAATAATATGGAAAATTTTTAGCTGACTTTTGGCAGTGAATATGCCTTGATCCGTCGAAACAAAAAAATATTTAGATTCAATCTCTATTAATAATGAGCGTAAAACTTCTTAATATGTTTAAATAATAATTAAAACTTTAAAATTGCGTTTACTTCAGACAATTATAAATATTATCATTATATTATCAAGTAAAAACGAGATTTTCAGCTAATTTTTCATTTTTTCCTCGATAACCATTTAGTGAATTTGAATAACCTTACGCTAAAGTGATTCTCCAGAGTTCAAGTTACTTATTATAAAAGTTTGAAATTTCTGGTAGCTTTTTTTCTGTTAATAAAAATAAATTTAATCTGTTCGGTTAACGAATCTCCATAAAATGACGTGTAAAATTACAATTTTTTAAAATTTCAATAACTTTTTAACGGTTTAGTGAATCGATTTGTAATTTTTACAGGAGTTTTAGAATTGAATGAGGAACGTTCTTCCAAATTTTCATTTGTCTCATAGCATTCTGACATACCTCCCAAACATCCTTAAGCTGCAGAACATAGTAACTATTCTCCTTATTTAGAGCGTTCTAATTTTTGAACAAATTACTAGTTTCGTTGCGTTGAAATGCTAGCCTGAAAAGTTTCGCTTTCCTTAATACACGATCGAGCAATAAACAGCAATTGTTTATGCATATTTATTAATAAATGCAACGTCTCCTTGTATACAGAACCAGAACCTTACACGCTCGACTTAGCATAAAATGCAGATAAGTGTTATCGAAATGAAATTTATTTAATAAATGCCCAGTACATTCTGCATTTTATTACGGCGTTAAGCATAACCGGGAATTAATTTATGGGGTGCCTGTGTACCTTTACCTCTAGTTTATAGTGCAAAATGGACATAACTGTACTCTTAAGCGATTTTTGTGTACGTGTGGTGATAACGTAATTGTCGTATTTACATTTCTCGGTTTGTAAAATAGCAGTTTTCTCACGTCTTTCACATTTATGGGAACTAATGGCGTACCCACCTGTGCATTTAAATAAAAATATAATGAATATCTCTGAAAAATTGTACTTTATAAGAATATTCACATAATAGGCATTTATGTAAAACCGTTTCAAAATTCAGAATAACGCGAACTGTCATTTCGAAAGTTTATTGATTAAAATCCGGTACAACTTTGGAGGTTAAGGATAATTTGATAACTGCCCTGATGTTGGGACTATGCCAAACATGCAAGTTTTAAAAAATTAGATTCTTTAACTTTTAGTACCTGCTAATAATTGCATGATGAGTATACAGTGGATAGAGAAGGTTAAAAATGAAGAGTTATCAGAAAGAATAGGAGAACAGAGGACTCTGTGAAAGTCAATAAGGAATAGGTGAGATAGGTTGGTAGGTCACCTTCTCAGGCATGAAGATCTAGTCAGAGACGTATTAGAGGCAGAAACGTTAGTAAGGAGGGGTAGAGGTAGACCTAGATTCGATTACTGTTCGCAAATTGTTAAGGATGTGGGTTGTTCTAGATTTACGGAATTGCGAAGATTAGCTCAGTCTAGGAAAGAGTGGAATTTCGTGTCCAACCAGTCTTAGGCCTGACGACCTTATGATGATGACCTGTTAATAAAGTAGAATAGCATATAAAAGTCCACAATTTGACCGTTCTAACGAAGATTCTGTATTCTTTTTTTGATAAATGTAAAGAAGGGAAGTTCTATGAAAATTTAGTGTATCACAGAGACTATTTATGTATGAACATTTAGCTAATAATACCAATACTAACTAACAAAAACAATGAAACCTTGAAAGGAAACCTATTAAACTAAAATTATCCTGTTTGTTCTTTTTGAACGGTAATCGAATCATTACTTTTCATTTTTCTTCAGAAACCATCAGGTTTTTCTCAAGATGATTAACCATTGATCTAAAATGCCACTGTTCCCCATAGCTCTAGTAATTAGAATGTTACATACGACTATTTGTTTCAAAATAGTACCTATACTTATACGTTATTTTGAAACAGTGATCTATAGATTTCGATTAGGGTTGCCGCAAGATGACTCAATACGAAAAATAATGAATTTCGGGTCTTATCATGTTATTGTTGTATTATTTTATGAAATGCTAAAATTTGGTCAAAGTAACTTCCTACGACCGATGTTAATGCTTCTTGAGTTAATTATTATTTTTGAGTACTCCAGATTGGTTTTCTGGTTTAATTGCACATCCCACCCACGGCTATTAACTTTATTATAGTATAGCAGGCCTGCCTTTGATTTTTAATGGAAAAAATTATTATAACTCCCGTAATTTTACAAACACCTACTCAAAGAATAAAATCATTTTGTAAAGAAAGGTATCTTACTTCTATAACTGAATGCTCACCATTTGTATTTTTGATTTTTTGTCATTGGTTTGTATGTGTGAGGAGGTTGCAATTGTTGACTCTAATGACTATCAGAACAGAACCCGTTACTATTCATAATTATTTATTAGTCAGGTTTTTATGAATGGTTTTCCACAAAAATTCTCTTTTTCTTCCTTGATTAATATCAAGAACACCTTAGAGAAGAGCAATAATTTAATCCAAATCGAACTGGTCTAAAAATCATCATGACTAATAATGGGTTGAAAACGCACCGGTCTACTGCGCGATGAGCGGTTGCGCATCAACAAAATATCTCTCTCTCTCCATCCTCAAGTTGGATGCGCACTGCCTTTTTGCGCAGTGGACCACTGGCCGCAACTCGCTAGAACTCTATACACTTCCTGAACAGCATGCCTTGACTGAGAAAGGGAAATAGGAAAATGTCTGAAAGTAATCTTCCATTTCGGTCAACAGTATTCGTAAAGGAAATCAAACATTAGAAAGCGCGGGATGAGCACTTTTGATTTCTAAAAATTTTACATTGTTATTTTCTGCTTTATAGTTGGTACCTACAGGATAATAATTATGTGGGACATTGTTTTGTTTCAGATTACCACATAAAACCGAAACCCTGTTGGGTGGATGGCGTGAAAGGAACGTGTATGTTCGTATATGAATGTATCAAGACAGAGGGTTACCATATCGGGATGTGCGTCGACACATTCATGTTTGGTTCATGTTGCGCCCACAACACGAGCGACAACTTTGTACCGGCGGACCTGGACACCAGCAAACCTGCCGTCCTGTATACACCACCTAGTCAAAGCACGTCTAAAAACCAGAAACCTAACCTAAGTCATAGCTCAAGTGTAAATAATAAACATACCTCCAGGTAGGTAAACTTGAATCCATCCCCAATGTTTTGACGTTAAAGGTCTTTAAGTGGGCTTAGAGTCACAAAAATAATCGATAAAAAGATCGGCTCTAGTAAAAACGTAATTTTAAACGAAAGTAATACAGTTCGCATCTTTTGATAGTATTGAGACTTGAAGTACAGTTTGTTTCAGGAAGTTAGAGATATGCCCCTTCCCTTTATTAGGATGCGCCGTAACATAATTCCAAATTCAATCATATTTGTCTGCGGAGCTCATTTCTCCACCGATCATCGAGCGAGAACTAGACAAAAGTGTACAGTACCATTTGCAAAATTATTTAAACTGCCTCGTTAAAATTTAAGAATATGCTTTATTTAAAAGCATATTTAGCCAAAAATAATAACAAGTGAATTAACTTAACGTTCTACACACCTATAAAACTTTTGCTTTGTTTTCTATTGTTAATTTATATACATTTTTGTTTTAAAAAATTGCTAAACATTTTCGTCTAGTACTGTACATTTCTTGCCGATCTCCTAAGACCGCCCATCGAGAGCTCTGCTCGTTCAAGCTTGTTCCAACTACAGTGACTTTATAGTAACAGTGTGGCTATACGAGCGAAAGCCGCCATGTTTCCTCCAAATTTAAATGCAGCAGCGTGGCGCAATACTCAATTTCTTGTGTTTTCAAGATTTATTACATTAAAAAAGACGTAAAACGGCACGATATTTGTATCAATAGAGGTGTAAAGCACTCAGACTGACTTATAACAGGATTATTGCAAATAGAAATTAAACAAACTGTAGCTACTGAGTAAAATATTGTATGTATATGTCTCGAAATCAGAGACTTAATAAAATCGAGGAAAGGTAGAGATATAACACAAGTGTAGATGCAGCAAGTAATAACTGTAATTAAACACATGAAATAACAAAATGACACTTACAATTTATATGAACGCTAACATTAAGTTTTGTCGAATGCCGAGCAAAACTAATCTTTTAAAAAACGATTACACTAATAAACGTTAGAGACAATATTTATTATTATACCGAACATACACACAATAACAGTTACTACAATGCGATTTTGTCTATAAAAAAAAGAGTTAATCTAATATGTTGATTAGCGCTTATATAACTTGTGGAGTGGGACAGCCTATAGGTGAGGGCGATAGGTCGATATAACTATTATTTTAACATTAATACCGCACCTGAATCAATACAATTGTCGGTACTTCGTCCTAATTATATTTACAAATTCTGTGAACGAATATGACAATTAACAAGCGAAATGGCTAGCTGTTATTAAAGGGTGTTTATCAGTTACTTTAGTCACGTAGATATAAGTCAATGACGTAGACAACTAGATGACTAAGTTTGATAAGACATCAAACTTACATGTATTTCCTTGCATAATTACAAGTGAGAAGCCATTACAGATTTACTAGCATAAGCTTGCTGTTTTTGCTTTTCACATTTCTTGCTCGCAATTTTCAGGCGGAAAACTAAAAATCTAGAAATAAGTTTGGCCTTTAAATTGTGACAGTCAAGAACATGTGTAAAAGGTAAACATTCCTGAGTAACTTTATTTATAAAAAAATCCTTGAGATTAACATTTTTTTGTTTAGAAAC